CGACGTGACTAACGTGACTAACGACGAAGAGAACTGTACCCAAAATGACATTTATAATTAACAGTAGGGGGAAACGTTCGAAATTCCTGGGGCACAATGAGAAAAGATGGCTTGGAATATTTGATACTTTCATGGCACTGATTGAAGTTTGGGAAAGGAGAAAAATTATTAAGAGCAACAAATGAAAGGCAATTGTGGAGAGTCGTGATCGCCAACAATTGATAGATAGATATGAAAAGTGATAGATAGAGATAGAAAGATAGATATGAACTGACAGTGATAGATATATATGAACAGATAGATAGATATATAGATAGATAGATAGATAGATAGATAGATAGATAGATAATATGAAAAGTGATAGATAGATACATATGATCGAACAGTGATAGATATAAACATACAGTGATAGATAGATAGATATGATTGAACAGTGATAGATATAAACAGACAGTGATAGATAGATAGATAGATAGATAGATAGATAGATAGATAGATAGATATGAACGGACGGTGAACGATAGATAGATATGTACGAACAGTGATAGATAGATAGATAGATAGATAGATAGATATAGATAGATAGATATGAAAAGTGATAGATGGATATGAACTGAGATAAATAGATAGATAGATAGATAGATATGAACGGACAGTGAAAGATAGATAGATATGTACGAACAGTGATAGATAGATAGATAGATAGATATGAAAAGTGATAGATGGATATGAACTGAGATAGATAGATAGATAGATAGATAGATAGATAGATAGATAGATCTATAGATCTTCATTACATGTCTCATAAATTTCAAGTGTTTCTTCCTGAAGTTAATTTTTCTTTTTAGTTTCCATTTTCTATAAAACCTCGTCGTTGCTCATTTGTTCGTCTCATGGCTTCCTCAGTATCTCTCTGTAGTAACACATTTCTGTTGCTTCAAGTCTCTTCTTCAGTTTTGGAGAGATTTTCCAGCATTCGCTGTCATACAGGAGGTTAAACATCACGTAGCAGATCGATACGCTTTTATTTTATTTCTAAACAATTTTTTCTGTATCTTAATATTCTGCTTAGCTTTTGAAAAATCACCTTTCACCATCCCAGTACGCCTTCGGATCTCAGTGACGCACTTTCCTTCCTCTGTTAAAACACTTCCCAGATATTTAAATTTTTGTACTTGTTTGATTTTACTATCCCTGGTTTGTAACTTGAATTTTGGGCTGTTCCCTTTTGCGGATAACCATGCATTCTGACTTCTTGCAGTTTATACTTAGTTCTTTCTTCTTGCATTTTTTCGCTACCTTCTGTAGGAGCTTTTGTATTTTTTTTAGCGTGTAAATAGCTCCAAACCTCTTGGTAGCCTAAGTAATTTAGAACATCTCACTTCAAATGAATTATCGGGATGTGTTCAGCCGGTCTTTCATCTCAGCTACAGAAACGAGCGTGATGAACCATAGTGAACGAATAATCCTTACTCCTTCCGGGTTCTTTAAGACCTAAACGAGAGAGATATAAAAAATGAACCCCATGCAATGCTTGCACTATTATTAGCATTAGCATCTATAGCAAGCTGGCCGATCAGAAAAAGCTTTCAATTAGAATGGAGCAAAAACTGCATTATGTTTAGATGTAACTGAGTCTACCTTCTTCAATGACTAAATACTTTCATTAAAAACAGTGTTGAATTAAAAATAAAAAAATAAAAATGATGTCTCTATTTTAATTGACTGAATATTTTACGGCTTATCAATCTCAATTCAAATCTAAAACATATTTTCGGATTGAACAAATTTTGTGGGGATAATAATGTTTTTTTTTCTTTTTGTTTTGCTACAAGTCTTAGTATTTAACACATGGAGCCAACAGCCTTGGTAAGCATCTAGTCTAGCAGAAAGAAAACTCTGCTTTTTAGGTCTTATCGCTTTAAATTCTGAGAAGACGAACGCGGTAACCCTAACACCCCCCGTACGAAAGAAATCGGCAAACCATTGCACTATTTAACCTTGAATGTCACGATGAACCACAATTGTGAGATGGAAGAGTCTGGTGATCACAACAACGGCGCCAAATGCGCTAAATAAATAAATGATGAATATATATATATATATATATATATATATATATATATATATATATATATATTATCTATTTAAAAATATGATTCCAACACGCTACATAAGAGTTCTTATGTTTCAAAACAAGAGCTGAAAACTTCAATATAATTATTTGAATTAAATTGAATTAAAGTACTAAGCTCTGTACCATCTTCAAGCGAAATTTATATATATATATATATATATATATATATATATATATATGAAACTATTAAGATATCTTGCTAGTACTCTATAAATGGTTTTAAGGGGGATAAGTTTAATTTTTGCCTGACGATTTCTATACACATGAAACTTCGAGTACCACCGCCCAAAGCGAGGAATAGTAAGTCATTAGTTAGTGTTGATATATATATATATATATATATATATATATATATATATATAT